TGTAGCATGTGTCAGTACTCCGTTCTTTTTTTAATGGTTGTATAATATGCCATTGTATGGGTAGATAGTGTTTTATTTATCCATTCATCGGTTGATGGCCCTTAGTTGTTTCCACCTTTTGGCTATTGGGAGTAATGCCAGTATGGACATTCATTTGTGTGGATATTTGTTTTCATTTCTCTTGGGTATACACCTAGTTGTAGAATTATTGGGTCATATGGAAACTCGGTGTTTAACTGTGTGTGTGTTTTTTTTAAGATTTTATTTATTTATTTGGAAAGAGAGAGAGAGACAGAGCATGAGCAGGAGGCAGAGGGAGAGGGAGAAGCAGACTCCCCGCCAAGCAGGGAGCCCGATGAGCGGCTCCATCCCAGGACCCTGGGCCCATGACCTGAGCCGAAGGCAGAGGGCTTCACCGACTGAGCCCCCCAGGCTCCCCAGTGTTTAACTGTTTTGAGAAATTGCTGCACTGTTTTCCAAAGCAGAGATTATGAATATTTACATTAGCAGAAATTAGGAAATAATGTAGGTGTCAATAGTAGGAGAGTGCTTAGCAAACTGTTGGTAAAAATGCAAGCTCCTTATTCCTAGATCACGTCCTAGGGGTCAAAGGCAGTTGAGTTGTGATAATTGTTCTCAAGGAGCTTAATCTATTCAACTGTTCCAGGTGATGTTTACAGAGAATTTATAACAAGGGAGGCAGAATATTTAGGCTATAATGTTAGGCCATCTCCAGGAATTTTGGGAGAGACTCAAGGTATGAATTAATAAGTATACATGTTACAAAGTTAAGTGGAAAAGGCAGGATAAAACATTGTATATACTGTGCGATCATGACTATGTCAGGGAAAAAAAAAACAAAAAAGAACGCAGAAAAAAGTTGGAGGAAAACACCAAAATAGGAATAATGGTTGTATTTGAGTGGTGGTATGAATGGACATTTTTCTCCTATGTAGGTGTAGTTCCTAAACCCTTTGTAATGGAAACAAAAATGCCCGAGTCTGCGAGTCTGCGTGTGGTGACTGTGGGGAAGGAGTTAGTTGGAAAAATCTAACATTAAGTTTCTGGAGAGATGAGAATTTAGGAACTTGGGCCGGCATACCTGTGAGTGGAGACAGAACCTTGGACTTGCCTTGGGGAGGACTCGGAACACCGGCCCAGGGCTTTGCCCTGCCTGGCCCTTGGTGCTGGGCTCTTGCAGAAGAACCACATGCTCTTGAGGAAGAGCCATTGGACATCAGGGTCTCCACCCAGTTGGAAGGATGACCACTAGCAGCATGAAGGGTCACAAGATTGTCCAGGAGGAAGTCCCCCACCATGCCGAGGGTCCTGGTTGTCTCTGGCCATGGATGAGATCGCGCCCAGGTGGCTTCCGGCCTCAGCCTGACACGCGGGACTCATGCTTTTTAGCCAACAATGGCCAGAAAGCACTCCTTGCTGAAAAACGAATACCAAAAGAACTCCACTGTTTCAGACTCCCAGACCTTGCCCTTCTGACAATGAAAAGGGAACCAAGAGTTACTCAGCTCTCCTCATTGTAGCAGTGTGATCAAATACATTTGAAAACTGAACAACTCATCTGAAGCGCTTTACTTATCACTGAAGTAATGTTACTCACCAACACCTTTCTTGGGAAAAAAACATCATTTTGGTATTGGTACAGTTTCAGATGTTCATGGAGGCATGTGCTGTGCAACAGAAAACCATGAAGTCTTTGTCCCGTAAACATTTTGGAATGATAATTAGGACAATAAATTTAGACATTCTCAATGCTGTTATTGAAAGTCATGCCAAAATGTGTCTATATGCGATGAAGTTGCAGCTGTCTGGAAATCTGGAGGGTGTGTCATCCTCATAGATAGATGAATCAGAAGAGCAGTGTAGATGTTTATTTTAATGTTCTTAAATAGGACGAAGAAACTTTCTCTGCATTTCACTGCCTCCTAGTAGAGGACAGCCTGGGTCATCACCACAAATGTCCACTACAGTATCTGATAGAATGGGAAGGGATGTGAGGGCTTAGTATTTATTGGTTACCTATTGCTGCATCACAAATTAAACTCTGAAATCTAGTGCCTTCAAATGACAGCGAGCACATGATTTCTGTCGCACAGGAATTTAGAAGTTTATCAGGGTGGGCCTTGCTTGGGTCTCATGAGGTGTTGTGGTCAAGATCCTGCCTGTGGCTACAGTCATCTGAAGGCTTGACTGGGGCTGGTGGATCCACTCTCGAGGTGGTTTATTCATGTGGCTGGCAAGTTGGTGCTGGCTGTTGGCAGGAGACCTCCGTTCTTCTCCGTTTGGGTCTCTTCACTGGGCTGCTTGAGTGAGCTCACGACATGGCTGCTGGTTTCCCCCAGAGCCGGCAATCTGAGAGAACATGGTGGAAGCACAGTGTCTTTTATGACTCCCACCTCGGAGGCCACACACTGTCATTTCCACGGTATCCTGTTGGTCGCACGGCTCCACCCTATGCAGCGGGGGAGGGGAGCACATGAGGCCATGAACAGCAGGAGGCAGGAAGCATTGGGAGCCATTTTAGAAGCTGGCCGTCATGGGTGTCCTGCGGCAGGTGTGCGTGTTTCACAGTGTGATGGGTGAAGCCAGGGAGTAGGTTTTTGTGCTTCTCCTTGCTGTTCGATGGCCCCTTTGCTGCATTCTACCTGCCCAAGGGACCCTTGTCTTTGCCTTCTAGCTTACCACTTCTGTCTTTTGGGAGTTGGAAACTTCCATTATTGAGCCTGTTGAGACTACTTACTGTCAGGTGAGTAGATGGGCTCAAAGTGTGGGCCCTGTGGATCGATGAGACCAACAGTGAGGACTCGGTAACTTCTCTGTGGGTGCGGAGAGACCTTGCTTCTGACATGAGCTAGACTGTGAGAGGCGTGCCTCCTCATCGGCTAGCTTTGTAGTACTGATTCTGTGGATGACTGTACAAACTCCATGCTTTGTTTGGAAAGAAAGTGGAATCCGAGACATACAGATTCTGTATCAAGCTACAATAAAATTCACCGAGACAGTAGATGTGTCATTTTGTTTATTTTTAGAACAAGTATGGAAGTGTTATTATAATTACCTGCATTGTTTATTGGATCGAAAAATGAAAATAGGAACTTAAGGTAGTTTTAGGACAGTTCTTTTTTTTTTTTTTAAAGATTTTTATTTATTTATTTATTGAGAGAGAAAGAATGGTAGAGAGAGAGCATGAGAGGGAAGAGTGGGAGAGGGAGAAGCAGGCTTCCCGCTGAGCAGGGAGCCCGATTTGGGGCTCGATCCCAGGACCCTGGGATCATGACCTGAGCCGAAGGCAGACGCTTAACGACTGAGCCACCCAGGTGCCTCTAGTTTTATAGTAGTTCTGAATTAATGAAGTGAATTGGGCTCCATAGTGCTGTAAGGTCAGGTTTCCCACCTCTATTTGTTGATGAAATGAGATCATAGATGTGAACTTGCTTAGAATGTACCAGTGCTTGGGCATTTTTCTCTAATCTTATATGTGAATCTAGAATGGCAGAGATGTGCTCAGGACTCCATTTATCTTAAAGTAGCATTGTTTTTGTTGTGGTTTGGTCCCCTTCGGGACTGGAATCATGCACAATACCCTGCTGTTACTTGCTTGACTAGGAACGCGCCACCATCACGCCATTCCGGGCCTGCAGAGGAATCGTGCTGTGGACGTTGGTGTTGCGGGATGGTGGGACAGACGGCATGCCCAAGGCTCATCCTGTGATGTTGTGCATTTTTGAGCGCATTGTATTTGGCAGGCTGTCTGTGGCGGATTTTACCTTCTATATTTTTCTGTTTTGATACTGACTCTAACATCTTAAAACTATGTGTAAAATGAAGACGAATTACAATCTATGCCGCTCTGATGGTGTTTATCGGTTTTCTAAATGCTACTGGGAGACACAGAGCCTGGTTGTCTAACCAGTTTGGGGAAATAACATGTTCAGAATTCATACTGGTCTTGTGAGGTTCGGCTGTGGTTGCGGTATCTCGCTTTCCTGGGGCCAGGGACTTGAACAGAAGATGTGGGAGGATTGAGTTAGTGAAATTTAGGTTATCGGATTCCCATGCATACCAGTCAGTGTGCATTTATAGAGACAGCCGAGGAGATAGCTGCCCAGACTCAGACAATTACAAGGCGTGGCCTATTTTATACAACAGCTGTCTTGTCAATCAATGTGATCATGGTATGTGGGGGAGGGGGCGGTTCTCCCTTTATCTGGGAGAAACCCTTTATCTATCTATGTCAAGCCAAGGTTTCCTTAGCCACATTTACTTCAAAGAAAGAGGTCTGTAGACAATGTGCTTTTGTTGTTTTTCTCCAGAAAACAAAAAGGACCCTTTGCAGTTTCCGACTCTTACTGTCTAAGGACCACAGGCAGTGTGGAGTAGGTATCTCCTTGAATCGGTGCCAGCTTTGCTGGGCTTTTTGCATTTGGTCAGGGGGTAATGTTTAACTCCTTAACTGATGACCTCTGGTAGATGAAACTTAACCAATACGTTTTAGATAGATTTGAGCTGTCATGTACGGAAACATTTGGGGGGGGGCATTTGTAAGGGAATGAGAACAAAACACGGGTGTTCTGTTGCCATCACCTCATTAAGCATAGGAGGAAGATGCTGGTTTGACCTGTTTTGTAACTGTCCATATCGATTTTCGCTGCTATTTAAAGTTGCACTTTGAGATAGGAATGCTTTTAACTGCGAGTGTACTGATATTGTTGCTGAATATTATTCATGCAAAGCCAGTGAATTAATTTCCCAACTAAAGAGTTGGAGCAGAAGCAGTCAATTAGATGAGATAATACCTAATTTTGTATTAAGACCTAATTCTAGAGTCAATTCAGCAAACTTAACGAAATTGACCTTTCAGATTTGCTTTTCTAATTTTATTTTGCAGGATAACAAAGCCATTGACCTTTGCCGATTGTGTTGGGGATGAACTTCCTTTAGGATGGGAGACTGTATACGATAAACAAATTGGAATTTATTACATGGACCACATAAATAGTAAGTAGACTCCCACATTTGAGTTATTATATGTGAATGAGTTAAGAACTCTCTTTGTAGAGCTGAGGCAATCATTACTATCCAATGCAGCATTAAGCTGGATTTTATAAATGTGACCTGAGGTTGTCATTTGTGGAGTTCTTCAAAAAGTGAAGCCGCTGTCTGGCTACTCTGCTTGTGTGTTGCCCAGGATTGCACGGGATATGTTTAATGGATGGTTTTAGTGCCTAATAAAAGGAATACATTTCCCAGGCAGTCTGGAAATAGAAATATCTTTCATAATGAGAAGGTGGTTTATAGCAAAGTGGAGCTTACAAGTTCTTGGAACAATAAATGTCCACATGATTACCTTAACTTCATTTTGTCTTACACATTCAGTTTCAGCTTCAATATACCAAGCCTTTGTGATCTTTGTGAAGGGAGAAAACCGTGTAAAGACTACAGCTCAAATAATACAGTGGGTCCTTGAAGCACACCAGCTTTCTTGGAAGAATTGGGTAGAGCCCGTGGCTCTCGACCAGGGCAGATCTTGCTTCCCGGGACCACTTGGCAGCGTCTGGAGGCATTTTCCGTTTTTGCGCCCGGGAGAGGAGCTAGTGGGCATCGAGTGGGCAGGGGCCGGGGCTGCTGCTGAACTTCGTGCACTGCGCGGGACCGCCTGCCACAGAACGCGCTGCACCCCGAGTGGCCGTGGGGCCGACGTTGGCACACCCTGGTTCACAGGCTCCGTGCTGGTCTCTGCCCCTCACTCTTGGCTTGTCACCCCTTCCTCAGCCTTCCTCCATCTGGTCCCAGCGGGGGACTCCACTTCTCTCTCAGATTCCCACTTTTGCACTCTCTCCCATTTTCATTCTAGCTACCCTCAGTGTTTATGTCATTTAATCATTCTTCACTCCTGGGGACATGAAGCGTGGCTTCCCCTCGGCGGGTTTTCTGTCCTTCAGTGCATTAAGTGCGGGGTAGGCTGGGAGGGCCCGAGGCTTCACGATGCCGAGCCCGTGAGCGATCTGAAGCTCTTTGCTCACTCCGGTCCCATGGCTCCTCACGTCCCCATAGTGCGGTCGACCCAGGTTGGTGTCTTTGGGGCCGATTCCTGCATTGGCACCTCCTGGCCAGCCTCCCGAGTCAGCATTCAGAAACCTGAATGGCCGAGACTTCCTTTCTCAGTCCTGGGGCAGTGGAATTTCTGATACGCGGTGGTCAGCCTTGCACTTGATTGCAACCCTTACCTGAAGACTGGGCAGTGGGGAGAGGAGCTGCCCTGGTTCACCTGCCCTCCCAGGCAGTTATCTGAGGGGCAGGAGGGCTTCTGGGTAAATCCACCGGCCACCGGACAGAGAGCGGTGCTTAAGTGAGGCTCCCGGAGGGCGGCCCTCCCTGTAGCCCCAGCTGACCTGGTGCCTCACGACTGTGGGTGTTTGAGGTGTCTTGCTGTCTGGGCCTCCCTTCCCGGCTGCTGGTGGGCAGCCCCTGCAGGTGAGGGCTGCTGCCCCATGGGCCTGGGCACATGTGCACTGGGGCTTCGTCAGCAGTCTTTGGCCTCTCCGAGCCCAGGTGGTATTACTGAATGGCAGAGGCATCTGCCTTACACAACCTTTCTGGAAAGTCTGCCTGCCACTGAGGTCCTGGACCCGTTCTGGCTCGCCTCTCTTGTAAACCCAACGCCCTCATCCCTCTGTGCCCCCTTCTTCGCTGTGGGCGTTCTCGCTCACCTGCTCGCTGTCACAGGGGGGTGTTTGAGAGCGCCTCTCTGTGCTGGCCACTCTTTGGGCTCTGGGGACGCAGGGAAGTGAGACCCAGTGTCTACCCTCAAGGATTCCACATGACACTCTAGACGTGGCCATGAACCCAAAAACTGAGTAGCCACCAAGGACTTTCTTTTAGCCACTGAGTATAAGTGGGATGACTCAGCACTGCGGGTGATGAAGACATCAGAGAACCCAACTTTTTTTTTTTTTTTTCCAGGAACAAGAAAGGTTATTATTGTTGTAATAAAATGTACGTGGAGGCCAAACACTGCGTTCCAGAAAAGTTTCTCCTGAGAACCCAAGGCGTCATAGCACAGCTTTAAAACTCTTTAAAGGCACGGAACCTGAGGAGTCAGATATTAAATTGGAACCATGCAGGGGAGTCAGATATTAAATTGGAACTGTGCAGGTCAACCAGAGGGACCTGGGTTGACCGCCTTCGAGGCCCCCAAGAGCGTCTGGTGCACGGGGCAGAGTGCGGGCCATGGCCGCAGGCCACGGCGGTCCTCAGTGCTGTGGACACAGCCGTGACTCTGCCCTGCCCCAGGCCCACGGAATGTGAACTCCGGGCTAGCTCAGGACCCTGATTTTTGTTGTTGTATTTGGTTTCTCATTTCCTGGTGTGAGCTTTTGAGGCCTGGAGGGGCTTTCCCGTAGGGGCCTGGGGTGGCAGTGTGAAGGGGGGTAGGGGATATTGGCGGAAGGCGGTTTAAAGGGAGAACTTCCTTGAAACATCCTAGCAAGCATGTGTGTGTGTGTGTGTGTGTGTGTGTGTGTGTGCATGGGTGTCTGTGGTAAGGTAAACATGACATGACATTTACTTTTTCAACCATTTTGAGGTGAAATCCACAGAACATAAAATTAACCATTTTCAAGTATAGAGTTTGGGGACATTTGGTGTGTTCTGCATTGTACAGCCACCACCTCTGTCTGGTTCCAGAACATTTCATCACCCCAAAGTCAAACCTGGAACCCATGAGCCGTCACTCCCCATTCCCCCTCCAGCCTCCCAGCCCCCGGCCACCATGAAATTTCCTTTCTGTCTCTCTGGATTTGCCTCTTCTGGACATTTCATATAGATGGAATCATACACTATGTGGCCTTTTGTGTCCGACTTCTTTCACTCAGTATGACACGTGTGAGGTTCCTCCGTGTTGTAGCATGAAGTGGCACTTCATTCCTTGTTACGGTGGAATAACCTGCCATTGTATGGATAGACCACGTTTTATTTATCCACTCATCAGATGCTGGAATTAAGGCTGTTTCCACCCTTTGGCCGTTGTTATAGTCTTGGCCAAGCACACTTAATTAAACTTATTTATTTATTAAGATCTAATTGGCTTTATGAAACGATTTGTGAGTCAGGTAGCATCCCAACTAGCAAACAGAGGAGAGCTCCCCAGGTACATTTTAAAAGAGTTATTTTGCTTGCTTGCTTGCTTTCTATTTTTTCAAATTCTTATTTAGATTCTAGTTAGTTAACATACGGTGTATTGCATATTTATTTGGAATTTGGGTTGGGGGAATTTTGCCAGCACTTCTCTGAGCTCTCCCTTACTTTTGCATGTATTTACCAATATGTCGTCGTTAAAATAGCCAGCACAGCCCGGGGTCTTGAGGTTTGGAACAGGGACACGGCTTTGCATTTTTTACTTCATGGAGGCAACACTTGTGTTGAAATGTCCCTTAGGAGATCTGTCGCAGTGAAGCAGGGGAGCCTTCTCCGAGTCTGGGTGTCCGGCCCGTTTGCTCAGTCTGCCTTCTCAGTCTCAGGATCAGCTTTCCGGACTGTGGTCCTCTGCCTGCAGAGCCAACTGCCCCGTCCGTTCCACATTCAGTGAGCTTGCAGTCAACAGTTGCCGATTGCTTCTGGCTTTTCGATGACTGAAAGCTCCTGAGACTGGAACGCCGACTGAGGCCGCGTGCCTGCCTTTGAGGGGCTTGCAGTTTAGTAGGAGGGAAACAGAAACATGGAAGCAGTTAGGCGCCCAGCGGCAGGAACTGCGGTCCTCCCCATGGCACAGAGGCGTATGTGCTTGCAGGGGCCGAGGAGGCTTCCAAAAAGGAGCTGCTTTCACAAAGAGACTTGGAAGGTGGTAGGGTTTCCTGGTGGGCAGAAAAGGACAGAAGCTGCAGCACTTTGGAAAAATTCATCCCGGGGAAAGGACAGAAAGTAGAAATGAAGCTGGTGAGTTAGTCTCGGGACTCCTACATCATGCGGAGGATATTGCTTTAATAAAAGATACTCATGTGCTAAAGAATTGCAAGCGGAAGTTAGGAAGGCAACTTTGGTGAGTGCAGTGAGCACGGCCTTTGGTGGGGTGAGGCAGGAAGCCTGCACGGTTTTGGAGAGGGGTCATGAGGATCCGAGCGGACTCAGGGGAGAGGGAGTGAAGGGTGTGTCGCCAGTCATTATTATATCTAGGGGCAGGAGTCACCAGTTCTTGATGGCCCATGGAATGTTCTGGGTGAGTGAGAAGAGCAGGCCCTGTCTGGGGATGAGCCCCAGGTTGGCTGAGTGGGTAGGTCCAGATGATGCCGCTCACTTTGAGAGGCGAGGCAGAAGGATAAGCACGTGCTTGCGGTGTCATTGTTTGCTCTGCTTCCGGTTTTGGTAGTAAAAGGACGCTGTGTGAGAATGAGTTCTGCTTTGGACGGATGACCTGGAATTACCCTGGGTCCTGCCAGGGGGAGATGCACGTAGGGGGCAGCTGGAAGGAAAATGGGAGCCCAGGAGAGAAGCTGGAGCCAGAGGGAGGCATGAGCCTCCCTTGTAGAGTGAGAATGCCGGAGTGGAAAAGGGGGGAATTTATAGGTGGGAGGAGGTGAGGAAGGTCACAAACATCGCGGAAGCAAGCGCTGCAGGTGTGGTGCGGGGGCAAGGGGGAGGGGAGCAGGCTGGGTCAGAGGGGCGTCCCGAGCCAAAGAAGTCTACGAGAAGAAGGTTGGAAACAGCCGTTAGTTTGACCGTGATGAGCTCATTCGGTTTCATCTCTGCCAGTGTTTATTCACGGTGTGAAAAATTGTGTGGTATGGTCTTCAGCCCCCCTGCAGCCAACCTTTTCATGTCCGTAGAGTTTTCTTCTCATCTCACCTGCGGGTATGTGAACGGAAGGTGTTCTGCACTATAGGAAGTTTTGTTACGTAGATGCTTCCGTAATGTGCATCCTGGCAATTAATTTTCACATCGACTAGTTGCATGACTGCATGACTGTTGGTCGGCCTAAAGATTTTACTCTTAAGTCACTTATGTTCTTACCCTTTCCATTTCAGAGCTTACCCAGATTGAGGATCCCAGAGAACAGTGGCGGCGAGAGCAGGAACGGATGCTGAAGGAGTATTTGATTGTAGCCCAGGAGGCTCTCAATGCCAAGAAAGAAATCTACCAGATTAAGCAGCAGCGGTTCGAGCTGGCTCAGGAGGAGTACCGGCAGCTGCACAAAATGTGTGAGGACGACAGCCGCTCCTACACTAGCTGTGAGTTCACCGCCTCCTGGGGCTCACACGCATGGCTTGAGAAGCCACCTCTGCGCTAGGTTACCTGCAAACCCGAACTTGACTCGGCAAGACGGCTTCCTAGAGTTTCTAAGCACATACTGTTAGGGAATCAGTGTTGTGCTCTGGAGTCAGGTGTACCCCGCAGCCACTGCTTTAGCGAAGATTTCTCAAGTGCCTGCCTTGTGCCCGGGCCCCGAGATACGGTGGAGCCCAGGAACACAGAGGTCCCTGCCCCCAAGACCTTCCGTTCGGGTGGGGAAGGGAGAAAGTAGACAAGCGAGTTTCCGGCAGCGACATGAAACAATCTCACGTGTCGTGTTTGTCAGTGCGGAAAGGGGCTTCCCCCAGAGATCTCTGCTGTGACTAGATCACCTTGGGAAGGCCACAGAGCAGTTTCAGTGATCCTGCCTCCTGCCTGGAGAGATTCGGGAGCCATCGCCCGTGTCGAGCACCTGTTTCTTTCTGGGGCAGTCCGCTGAAGGTGGAGGAACTCGGTGTAACCCAGGGGGTCGGCGGGACGCTCTTTCCCGCACCCTCAGTGAGACGGATGCACACTGATGTTCTCAGAGGGAATCCCTCTTAGTTTTCGAGGCTGCTGGACGTGGGCCCCCATTTCATTAGTACTCAGCAGATGCTCAGGTGTTCAAGGAACCCTTGGTCCAGTCTCAGAAAACAAGGCATGTTGTTGCTGACACAGTCAGTCACCGCTGGAGCCTGTCCCCTCCCAACAAGAGTTGCCACACTGAACAGCCCATCACAGGTGCACAGGGCCATGAGTGTTGTGGGTGCCAGTGAGCTTGGGAAGAATGTGTGGAGGTGCTACTGCTAGGTTTTGTGTTACAACAACCTAAGTCTAGTTGAGACATGGAGAGACTTAACTGTGACATGACTGTCACATTGCCGGGTATTTGGCTCTGGTGACACAGCCTTGAGCATTAAAGACACGGTCAGAGCTTTATTCTGTGTTGCAAGTCAGAATGGAGTTTTAAGGCCAAGGGGTCAGAGGTCGGTCTTATTGCAACTACTGTTGAAGGTGAATACGCCTTACAAGCTGTGGGGAGGAGAGGGGTGGGGTGTCCCCTCTGTAACAGGAATTGAAGACTTCGAGTTCTGCATCGCGTTCCCTGAGAGAAGGTCAGGACCCGGGTTTAATGGTTGCTTCTAGGTCATCTTATCTCGTTCTTCAAATATCGTTATCTACGAGATTTTTTTTGGTTTTTGGTTTTTGTTTTTAACTATCCGTCAGAATGCAGTGGTCAGCCCAGTGCTAGTTTTTAGAGGCTGGTTTCTTATCTCCAGAGTTTCTTTTCTTATAATGTCTTCCTCTGATTTTGGTATCAGGCCTCACAGAATGAAATGGGAAGCGTTCCCTTTTCCTCTCTTTTCAGAAAGAGTTTGTGTGGGATTGGTATTTGATAGAACTTGATAGAATTCACCAGAAAAGCCATCTGGACCTTGAGTTCCTTGTGGGAATGTTTGTAACTATAAATTCAGTATCTTTAATAGATACAAGGCTATTCAGATGTTCTGTTTCTTCTTGAATCAATTGTGGTATTTGTGTGTTTCAAAGAATTTCTCTATTTCATCTAATCCAAAAGTCAGTAAACTGTTTTTTAATCAAGGGTTAGATAGTAAATACTTTAGGCTTTGTGGGCCATATGGTCTCCGTTGCAACTACTCAACCTGTCTTTATAGTGCAAAAGCAGCTAGGGGCAGTACATAAACCAATGTGTGTGGCTTGCTCTGAGAAAAGTGTAAACACAGGTAACAAGCTTGATTCGGCCTGCAGGGAATTTGCCAACTGCAGATCTAAGTTGTCAAGTTTATAAAGCTGTTTGTAGAATTCCCTCACCATTTTCTTAATATCTAGACACTCCGAAGTGGTGTCCTTTCATTCCTGATACTAATAATTTGTGTCTTTTTTTTTTTTAATCAGCGTAGCTAAACTTTTATTGATTGTATTTATCTTTACAATAAACTGGCTTTTAGGGTTTTTTTTTTTTCTTTTCCTGTTCCTTGTCCGTTTCTATTTTATTGGTTTCTCTTCTTTATTATTTTCTTCCTGCTTCTTAGTTTGGCTTTACTCTGTTCTTCCTTTCCTAGCTTCCTAAAGTAGAAACTTAGATCATTGATTTTAGAGCTTTCTTACTTTCTCACATGACCTCTAAAGGTATGAATTCTTCGTTAAGTGCAACTTTAACTACATGCCACAAATGTTGGTATTTTTTCAGTGATTTCAGAATGGTTTCTCATGTCCTTTGTAGTTTCTTTTTTGACCCAGGGGTTCTTTAAAAGTAAGTTATTGACACTTGTTAAAGATGTCATGCTGTTGATTTCTAATTGAATTCCATTGTGGTCAGAAACTACACATGTAAGATTTCAGTCTTTGGGATTCTACTGAGATGACTTATGGCCCAGCATATGGTCTCTCTCAGTGGCCTCATAGCGTTAGAAGCCCGTGGACTTGGTACCTCTGAGGTTACACCTAGCTGCAGCAGTGGCTTATAACTGTTTCTGAGAGCATAGGGTTAGCGATTTGAAGCCTTTTAGAAAGTGACTTGATAGAAGCTACGTTGAACCATATGAAGTTGTTATTTTTGTAGCTTAAAAAGGGCTGAATATTGGCAGTCTCATATGATTCAACCTAATAGAATGTTTCTTCCCAGTAGCCTTTAGGGACCATATCTGTCCCCTAGTTGGGTTTGGTTAAGTCTCCAAAGGCTCTCCAGTTGGTTTTTCTAATAAGAATGGAATGGGAGAAAGACATATCAGAAAAATTTGGCAGGAAGTTTCTTGCCAGTGATTGAAAAAGAAAAATAGCCTCAAGGGAAGATTGCCTACTACCCGTGCCTCCAGGTCTCCGGCTGCAGTGAAGGTGGGACCTGAGCCCTTGCGGATGCAGGGGTAGGAGGACCATCGAGCACCCCGTTGGATTCCACACCCAGCCCTGGGGGAAGCAAGAGAGGAGGAGTCCCCGGACAAAGCTGAGCCCGCAGATGAAGAGCACTGAGAACTTGTAGTCCTTTAATGCTGGGACATCCCTCAGCATCAGTGTTTGTATTTCCGTGGGCTTTTCTCTCCCTTGGCATTTGGGCAAGTAGGGAATTGCACTCAGTTATATTCCTTCCTGTGCTCCATAGAATTTAATGACTGCCCAGTGAAAAGGCGATACTCAAGATGCTGTCCTGAGTGGTGCACGAGGAAACCTTTAGTAGAGGAAGCAGATGACTCTGTAGTGTTGACTTGAGATTCTGACACGCTCGTCAGAATCCCGACCTGCTAGAGGTGTCTATGTAGGCGCGGTCTCTGCATCCACTTGTGGAAGTGGCCTCGGGGGCCACATTGGGCCTGCCTGTTTTCATGAAGGGCTGGAGATGCCAGTGGATTTTGCCAGGGCCTCTTGGCTCATCTGGGAAAAGACTCAGAATGGAATCTAGAACTTAATCCAAGTGCTTTACCAGGTTGCTGCTGCCCCTGGGGTTCTGACCAAGTTCTTTTCAGCTTGCCATTTAACCTGAACTACCAATTACGATGAGGAAAACTCTTTTAGATGACTCAAAGGAATTCTCTCTGGCCACGCCGGTCTCACACAGCCCAGATTGCTGTCAGGGCTAGTCATCTAAAGCAGGGAGGCGTCTCCGCGCTCTGGTACCGGGAGCAGAGTAACATCTGGACTTATTTCTCATTACTTCCTTCATTGGCAGTGACTTGAAGGGAAAAGAGCCAGTATTCAGTGGGCTAGTGTTATTATCTCTGCATTGTTGGGATTGCAACATTCTGAGGTACATGATGCTATCTTTGTTGTACACATGAGAAACGATATTGGGAAGGCTAAGTTACTTCTTCAAGTTTACATACCCAGTAAATGGTAGAACTTGGACTTGAACCGAGACCTGTTTGTGTACGTGGCCTTTGGTGCCTTGTACTGTTTCCTAGACATGGGAGAGGCAGCGCGAAAGAGCTAATCGTGCTTTTGAAACACCTTGCCCTCTCATTGTTCAAGTTATCTGGAAATAAAGACCGATTATAAACGGACAAGTCATCTGGCAATTCTGCAACACTAAAAGGGGCAAATGGAAGGCAGAGCACCATCTGCTTCTTGGCTTTCCTGTGGCCCGTGGTAGGATTGCCAAACTATTCATTTAGTTTCCAACAGATACTTATTTAGCACCTGCTGTTGGTAAATACTAAATGTTGGGGACACAGTTTATCCCTAATGGCGGATGGTGGGGAAGAATAAGGCAATGATGGTGAACAGAGGAATTAACTAAAACAGCCATTTTTAATATTGGAGCAGAAGGGTACAGAGGAGGGGGTGGGAGGAGGGGGAGGTGCATTTCTCCCACACCCTTCACTGATTTCTCCCCGAGTTCTGGAAATCACCAGAATAAAACTCCGTTCACTGGAGAGAGGAGATTTTGTGTCAATATTGGGCCATCTGGTATCTAAGAATATCCAAGCCTTGACCTTTTTTTGTCCCTGAGCAAAACAGATTCAGATGCTGGCTGGATTTGAGCATACATGTCCTCGTGAGACTAAGAACCCTACTCTGCTTTATTTCTGGGGGCTGCTCGGTATCCAGGCCTATTTTATGCTCCGTAGAGCACGGGGTGGGAGCTGCTCGGCCGTGGACGCACTCTCTCTGACGCTCAGCCGCTACTTCTCTGCAGCTCCGTGTTGTAGTTTTTTCCTACTTTCTTCACGTGTTGTGTTGTGTTGCTGGCAAAGGCGTTTTATTGAAATTGTTGTAGTGAAGGAATTTATTGCAGCCTTCAGGATCACTACAAAAATTGAAAAGTGAAAGTACTACCTGACAATTGGAGACCTTTGTGTTTCTTGACCTGGGTGGTTACGTTTGTATTTGCTTTGCATTAAGTCATTGTTTTGTACACTTTGCTTCATTAACTTATTAACATTGCTCATATCTAGAGGTGGAAAGAGCTAAGTATTTTTCTTTTTTTAAATTTACTTTAAAATTTGTCTCCAGTTGCATGCATTTATTTCATACAGTGAGCGTAATTCTCTCTGGGTGAAGAATGAATTGATTCCTCATCTAGAAGATGATGTCCTGCTTTCTTCATTGTAATGTGTTCTTCTCTTTGCCTTTTCCACTGAATACGTTTGTTATGTCGGAAGCTTTTATTCTGGAGCTAATCGTTCAGTCTTCCTGAGAAACTTCAGCTTCCGGATGCATTCGGATGAAGTACATGACCATTTGCAGGGTAAATTATAGTCTAATCTACAGGTCAGCAAATTATGTATGGCCTCTGGGCTGACTCTTGTCCACTCTGGCTGTTTATAAATAAAGTGTTATTAGAACACTGCCACATCCACTCACTTACCTATTGTCTGTAGTAGCTACAACAGCAGAGATGAGGAGTTGAGACAGAGACCATGTGGCCCACAACACCAAAAGTATTTACTGTCTGGCCTTTTGCAGAAAAAGTTTCCCAACCCCTGGTCTACACCAATAGCTCCGAACCCTGGCTACAGGGTATAATCTCCAGAGGGGCTTTTAAAAGCTGCTGCCTGGCCCCCACTCCCAGAGATTTTGATCTGATTGGTTTTGGGTGGGACCAGACATTTGTTTGTAAAGCATCCCAGGTGATTCCCAGAGTTGGGAATCCAGTAGTCTAGATTGACTTGTGATGGTCTCTTCCAGCAGCAGGCATATGACTTTGTTATCCTAGCTCCTAGGAACTACCAGAAGTCTGCACCAAAAGTATCTTTGGGTGGTTGGGAGAGTTGGCCTAATCTCCCGTGAGAAAGTGCTGACCCACCCTGAATTCCTGGGTTAGGTGGTGGTGAAGCTTGACCTTATCAGTTATCAGTTTTGCCAACATTCTTTCTGAGGCTTTAAGCCCATCCCACAAAGACTGTCTTCCACTGGTTATCCTGGAGAGGGTTTCTCCTCTACTGTCTGGGTTGGGATAATGGCCACAGTTCATCCATTCAACCTTTTGTTTTCCTTCATGCAAGCATGTTGGAGCTGGCAGGAGAAAAATGGATCACGCAGCGTTTTTCACAGGTTATTAGTTGGTAAGACTCAGTCTTGAAGGTGATGGCAGAGCATCCGAGTCTATTGAGAGATAATCCCCTAGTCCGCCCTAGAGAACATTTCTGAGAGAATGCTTGGTTTGAATTTGGTGGCATCTTGTGTTACTTCTCTAGGTCACCTCTGAGTGGGCTTGTTCGATTTTTTTCTTCCTTTGCTTATGGTGCCTTTAAAAAAACAAATGTCATGTCCCCTGTTGGCCTGAGTTATTTACATGCATGCCTTTGTCGCTGCTCTGGTAATTAGTACCTGTCAGCATGGGAACTGTCAGGGCTTGCTGTTCTTTCTGCCAGAGTTCTTTTGGCTTCCTTGAGCACCTCCCTACAGTGCTGATGCCTGGAGGTGCACACCTGGTCCTAAGGAGCGGTCTGCCCAGAGAACGTCTTCTTTGGAGGACTGCTGGTCTTTTAAAGCGTGTCGTGCCCTCAGGTGATCTCAGGTTCTCACAGCACAGAGGCCTGTGTGGAGCAGAGAAACAGGGAGGCAGAGACAGGCAGACACACCAGCATACGTGTTTTCCCTTTTCAATATGCCATAAAATTGAAATCCAACGTCAGTACTGGGGTCTGCAGCATCTTAAGTGCTAAAAGCACAGGTCACCTTCACCTGTTGGACAGTCGGCCCTGGGGAGCTGGAGGTCCATGCCTTCTCCCTCTGGGAAAGCTGATCTGATTAAAGAATCTTGGGCAGCTGGCCCACAGGAGCCCAAGTTTCAGACAGAAGTCCCTTTTTGACTGATGTAGATCGAGTCACTACAAACCTAGTCTCTGTCAAGTGGGGAAATGTAATCATCGTCTCTCACAAAGATTTTTTTAAAAAAAAGATTTACTTTAGGGAGAGAGAGAGAGCGAGCAAGCGCAGGCGGGGGGTGGGGTGGGACAGTCAGAGGGAGAGAGAGACAGAATCCCAAGCAGGCACCATGCTGAGCACGGAGCCTGATGTGGGGCTCGATCCCACAACCCCGAGACCACGACCGAGCAAAATCGAGTCGGATACCCAACCGACTGAGCCACTCAGGCGCCCCACTCTCACACAGATTTTATGAGAATAGATGAAATAAATGTGAAAGGCACCTTCTAATAGCAAGGTCTAATAGTTTACGTTGCTGTGGTCCAGGTAGACCGTAACCTTGGTCTTACATCCCCCAAAGTACTACCATATGCCTGAGTGGACTCCTTAAGCTGTTTAACAGTAGTGCCCACTCAAGTCTTCAAGAGAGAAGAAAGCTTTAGAAGTGAAAGTCTGATATTTATCATAAACCTTGAGATTGGAGACATGTCTTAACAGAGAAAGATAGTTCTTTTTTTAAATGTTGTGGAGCATGTGCCGTGAAAAATGGAGCCTGGACTCTAGAGATGGGTTACATTAGACTTACTGGCAGATGTAAGGAACTAAGAGTTTGTCTTTATAAGTTGAATTATATTATTAAAAGTTATGCCAGTCTTCACAACTCTCCTTAGTATTTGAAGATGAATGCACTCACTGTTTTAGGTACTTGAGTTGCCTTTTCCCTCCTCCCAGTCCTTGAATTTTACAATTTTAGAGACTGTAGCAAAGCTAACATGAATGCTACCTACATAAGTAAAACCTATTCTGTCATTTAGCATGGTTTCAGCTGTAAGTAACACAAAAGGCTAACCCCCATGGACCCGGACAAAGGACATCTCTTGTCCCATAACTGAATCCTCCGGCAGTGGGCTGGATTCGGCGCTCAGTGAGGCCGTGGCTTATCAGGCTCCCTACCCCTCCAGGACTGGGCACACGCCGAGTCTCCCAGGGGAGAGGGGCGTACCTGACAAGCTCAGGGTCCCGTGAGTTAGGAAGGAGAACTGGGGGACAGGTTGCTGTGTGTTTGTCCAGCTGTATCCTGTTATTTCAAGTCTTTCTGCTAATTTTCCCTATGAAATTGCGTAGGAGTTTTGTGGTGACGATTTCAGACCGTGGTTACTGCTGTTTAACATTGCAGTTAACTTCCCTGGACTTGGGTGATGGGGTTCCTTTCTACCCCAAATGGGAACAATCCCAGGTGATAACTGTGGGCACTGTCTTCCTCAAATGCAGGGTGACACACAGGGAAGTGAGGAGTCAGCGAGCCCTGGGCTCATTGGCTTCTTATCCGGGTCCAAGTGGAAGTCCCCTTGGCTCGGGTCTGGGAAAGCTTTAAGTCCCAGGAGTTTAATGTGGAGATTTTACAGAAATGATTTCTGACTCTTAAGGGCTTTTGTATAAGGTGTGGCTTTCAGTACTGATCTTAAATGAAGCCAAAGAGTCTGTCAAGATGGAGGCTGTAGGGTTTGGAAATAGTCTTCGTCTGAGGAAGAATTCTGTTTTAAAAAATATCTTATTCCATGTCTTCGAGAGATTACGATTCTAAATATAAGAACATTTGGGATAAAGTTGGCAAATGCTTAGCTCCTCCAGATATTTATTTCTAGTAGATTCTAATGGTTTGAAATTCTGACTGATAGGGACTTCAGTACTAAGCTTTTTATAGAACTGTTTTTTAAAGAGCTGTCCGAACTGCTCAAATTCACTTCGGATGTAGTTCTAGTTGAGGCTATTAAACAATCTTGCTGTGTAAGCCGCTTGATGACTTTGAGCCATCCTCTCTGTTACAAAGGCAGGAAATGATTTTGAGCTAGTTTCTAGCCGTTGGCACCTAGTTGCCTGAATGACAGTCACCCCTCAGTAGCCAGATCAAAGGAGTCAAGGAAAGATGCTGGCGCTGCAGATGGGTCTTCTGAGCACGTGAAGTTACTGTCAGTGACCCGGAGGCAGGTCACACCAGCATGGGGTGGCCGCAGATGAAGACAGGGGAGCACCCCACCAGCTAGGGCAGGGCTAGACCACGTCAGTGCCGCACACAAGCGGACGGCTTCCGCAGCCGGGGAGAGAGGAGACAGAAGCATCAAGAAAAAGCAATGTAGGGAGGCGAGCAGAGCGGTAGCCACGGGAAGCGGCTGCTAACGGCTCGAGCTGCCGGATCGCCGGCAGGGCTCTTGTCGTCTGGCTGACTGTGCTCGGCACACAGCTCGGCGGCCCTCCGCGTCGCGTTCACCCCCACGTACCGGCTGTTCGTACTCACGATGCTGTGGCTCTTCGGGAGTTGGAGCCCCGCGTGCTGCGCTGTGGAAGGAAGCACTTAGCTGTGTGGTGTGTTCTAGCTAAACACGCAGCACAACACGCTGCGGGCAGAAAAGCGGCCGTGCGGCGTTGCGGTGTGCCCCGAGTACACGGCCCGCGAGAACAGCTTTTTCTCAAGCCCGCCAGATACCGACACGCTACTACCAAGTCGTCTGTTTGCTTTTATAAGTCCTCAGTAGTTGTTCCTTTCTTAGGTCCAAAATGGTTCATCTGGAGAATACAGATATGACGAAAATAGAAATAAAAGCTTCTGTGATGAAACTTTTTGTTGAGAATAACCGCCGTTAACTTTTGGGTTCTGTCCTGGTGGCACCCATGTGTGTATGCATTTGCAAAGGAAGTCCAAATGGATTCATGCCGTATGTACTATTTCTGTAGTAAGAGCAGTTTTCCATACCATAATCAACCCCCCCCCCCAGCCCCGCCGAGTGTATCTGTGGTTTTTAACCCTAGTAATTTTGCAGTCGAGTTTTGGTTTACCGACAGCCATGTATTTTCTCGTGTGGAATCATGTAGAAAGGCCTCATGAAGAAATCAAACATCCAGATTTGAGGATGTGAGATGTTAATTCCTTAGGAGCCAGTGCCAGCTTGAAAATCGGAGACTTAGAATTAATTATCGATTTTAGAAGTTCCTGTCTATGTGTATTTACTTATTTTAAAGGATCCATTATAAAATAAAATATTTTCCTTCTGTTTAGCCTTCTCTGGATATTCAGCAAATACAAAGTACGACCCATACCAAATTAAAGCAGAAATAGCAAGTCGTCGGGATAGGGTGAGTAAAATGAGTGCTTTCACAACTAGAAGCCCCATATGTATTTTTATGTAATATTGCTTATCATGGTTCACTTAATGGTGGTCAGTGTGTCTAACACTCATATTTTGGTAAGATTTTCAATTTTGTGGATTATTATTACATTTGGTTTTACTCTTCACTTTTTTCTAAGAGGAGGGGGAAAGTTTCTTTTTGAAACCACAGCCCATCTAACAAAAAATCGCCTGTATCCCTCTGTGTTTTTCAGAGAGCTAGACTCCTCCCGCCCAGTTTGGAAAGATTTGGTGACATTAGGCCCTGATCTCAAAGGACTGCTTCCCTTTATTAGTGGGATGGCAGCCTTGACCCTCGGCAGCTTTGGCAGCTGCCGGTCTTCCCTGGTTGCTATATTCCTAGGGAAATCCTTCCTGCAGTGGCATTTGACCAGGCGGTTCTGATGCTCCTTCCCAGTGACACCGGAATTCGTTATGTGCCACCCCGTTTCATCCCCCAGTCCCTTATCTTGGTTGTGTGGAAAGGGGGGACATCTTGGAAACGAAGCTGCCTCTTCTGGCATCTCATTCCCGAAACCAGAGTGTCTCAGTGCAGGGGTTCTCAGAATCTAGTGCACCTGAGAAAAACACCTGCGGCATTGACGAAACACGCGAGCCGCCAGGCCCAGCCCCTGAGTCTTGACACAGGCCTGCAGTGGGTGCTAGAATCTGTTGAAGTAAGCACTGAGGGGATTGACTTTCCCTAGTGGGACAGCATGCTTTCAGCAACAGCGCCTCACGTGTGGGATCTAAGTAGTAAGCAGAGGGAAGATGAAACGAGTATTGCGTAGTTTGCTGACTGGAATGTGTAAATCACTACCTTGAGAAAGAAAGCAGTTGCCGGTTCCACAGAGGCAGGGATGTGTCAGTGATCTGGGATTCTTGTATCTAAGGAGACACTCCTTCCAGGATGGCTGCTGTGTATGCGCGAGGATGGAAATTCGTGGAGAGGATAGATGATCCAGTGGGTCGTAAGCCGATCAGGAACTTAGATGACAGTGCTAACAACTGTAGAAGTCATTTTCACCACAGCTTTTTTTGGGAAAAAAAAAACCCCGCGTAATTTGTCTTTAGCATTCCAGATTAAAACGAGAGCTGACCCAGATGAAGCAAGAACTGCAGTACAAGGAGAAGGGGGTGGAGACCCTGCAAGAGTGAGTTGCCCGTGATCCCGGAAGGGGCGCTTTTCCCGCGACTTCCTCTTGTGCTCACCTGTGTGGTGTCTGCGCATGTGTCCTCAAGCTGCGTGGGCGTTCCCTCTTATGCTTTGATTTATGCTCCTTTTCCCCCAATCCTAAGCCTCAGAATCTTCCTTTTCCTTGAAGATACTCGGGAAACGAGACCTTTATTTTCTATTTATGCGTGTTCTCTGTAGCTGCACTGTCCAAGACACACGTGGCTGTTTAAATTTGAACTCCAGTCTTGTTCGTTTTAGCCTCAAAATTGTTTATTCTAAAACTCAAATTTAATTAAAATGAAATAAAATTAAAAATTTAGAACCCCAGTTACATAGCCACATCTGAAATGCTCGGTTGTCACTGTGGCTAGTGTAGATTTTCTCTACCTTGGCGCAATTGACATTTTGGAGCAGATGACTCTCTGTGCATCATAGGATGTTTAGCTCTGACCCCCTGGATGCCACTAGTACCCTCTCACTTGCGACAGCTACAACTTGTCTCTAGATGTCAAATGTTCCCTGGAGGGCACATGAGCCTCAAGTTGAGAACCACTGGGCTAGTGGCCACTGCCTTGGATAGCACAGATACTCGAACATTCCCATCGTCACAGAACATCCTATTGGACAGTCTGGTCTATAGGTCTTCTTCCTGTTGGCATCTTTACAGTTAGAACTTTTTCCCTACTAAGAGTTTGGGGTTGAATTTCTTTTTTGTGAGCTACATTAAGTCAGCAAATTCAGTGAACAAAAGTTATTTTATAAATGGTGACCTTATTCTTACAAAAGAATCGATTTTCTTTTTTTTTTTTTTAAGATTTTATTTTATTTATTTGAGAGAGAGAGGGAGTGAGAGAGAGAGAGCACAAGAGGGGGTAGGGTCAGAGGGAGAAGCAGACTCTCTGCCGAGCAGGGAGCCCGATGCGGGACTCGATCCCAGGACTCCGGGATCATGACCTGAGCCGAAGGCAGTCGCTTAACCAACTGATCCACCCAGGCGGCCAAGAATTGATTTTCTCGAGCCATACCACCCTGAACGTGCCCGATCTCGTCTGATCTCGGAAGCTAAGCAGGGTCGGGCCTGGTTAGTACTTGGATGAGAAAGGGTATCATATGCTTGTCGGTTGGTTGAGAGTCCGTTCTCTCTGGATTCAGAGCCCGGCTTCACTTGCCGAACTTGAGCATGCGCTTCATGAAACCTTCTGTGTCTACTTTTCTCATCAGTCAGTGGGGATGGTTTTAGCTAGGGCTGCTATGACAGAATCCCAGAGACCGGGGGGGCTTAAACAGCAGACATTGACTTCTCACAGTTCTGGAGGCTAGAAGTCCAAAATTAAGGCACTGGCAAATTTGGTATCTGGCGGGGGCCTGCTTCCTGCCTCCTGGCCCTGTCTTTACGTGCTGCTGGTGGGGAGCTCTGGTCTCCGGTGTCTCTTCCTTTTAAAGACACTCGCCCTGTCATGAGGACCCCACTCTCATGACCTCATCTAACTCTCATTGCCCCCCCCAAAAGGCTCCCTCTCCATATACCATCACATTGGGAGGTAGGGCTCACCTTGTGAACTGTGGGGGGCCAGGCCCCTTCAGTCCAGAGCAGCGATCATTGGGCCGAATTGTCCGGAGGGCAGCACCAGAGCTTGCTCTAGTCAACCTTCAGCAAGTGGCCGGGGTCCGTGTGGTTAGTCTTCTCGGGAAGGGTGGGCAGCATGCCACTCTCTTGAATCCTGTGTGCAGATGCAACACAGTGTGCCACATGTGACCAAAGTATTGCTCTTTATAGGGAAGTGATAGAAGAATGTCAGTGTTTGACAAGCATAATTATCTCAGCCTCATATAAAGGGTAATTACCGGGCATGTCAAACCCTGTTGTTTAATACTAGGTTGAGATTCACTTTCTTAATCATCCAGGATTGTTTTGGTTGATGATTTGTTTGCCCATTTTTATTTCAGGGCTTATCTATTAAGGACTTATTATAGGTACCAAGGGAGTCACAATAGAAAGGGGAGCTGGGTCCTGCCGAGGGGCACTTGGACCTGGCTCTCTCTGGCCCTGAGACCTAACCGTGCCCTCTACAGGTCCCGCCACGTGGTGGATTTTGGTAATCCCGTCCACATACTTAGTGTGACCTGGAGTCTTTTAACCCTACCGTCAGCTTTTTGCTTCTCTACCATTATCCAGCGGTGTGCGTGCACGTGCGTGTGCTTGCGCACTTTCGCCTGGGATTTCAGTCCATGACGGGGGTTCCTTTAACTAGTCCTGGTCAGTACAGCTTCTTCAAAAAGTTTTGCTTGGGCAAAGCAATCTTCTTTTTCAATATCGGCTACTGGTTTTGTTGCTCATCTTGTCCGTCTGCTCCGGTGCTTCCCAGCGCACCGGTACGTGTCCTGTAATTTTACCCCCACGGCCAGCCTGCCTCCAGGTGCTCAGATGCCTGCTAGGCTACGTCCGTGTGTGCTGTGGCCACACTTCCCCGTGTCACTTCTGCTAAAGGGCCAGATATGAAGTAAGCAGAAGCAAATCATTTAATTTGGGAGGTCTTCTAAAGTTACTAGGGCTGTCTGCTTGAATCGGAGACTGATTCCATCCTTTCCTTTGGCCACACAGTAGCTTTCTCTCATTACCAGGGAGAGTGGACACTTCCTAGGGTCTCCAGATCATAAGACGTAACTGAATGCTAGGCATCGTGCGGGCTGCACATTCCAGGTAGGCCCCTTCTCCCTTGTAGAAGCTCTGGGGAAGGTGATGGAGGTTTGGGGCGGTTCAGGAACACTGTGAAGCCACACAGGACCCCCGAGCCTCAGAGGGGAGCCCGGCCCAGCACCTTTCCCTGCCTGCTCTGGCTTCGGTAACAAGATTGCTGGGCCCGGGGCCCGTCCCTTTGGCCTCTGCCACTCTGGCCATGGCCGTTTCCTTCCCTGAACACAGAGGGTCTCCCGCCCCAGCAACTGAAGGCTGGGGGCTAGAAAAGCCAAGGTGCTGGGGCTCAGGGGGCCGAGGAAACCCCTTGCCCTCGACAGCTCTAGGAAGTCAGTTCATCGTCATCGTTTGTAGTGGAACAAATTTCAAGAAGAGGCAGAGGCGGCCTTGGTTTGTCCAGGTTTATGGGATGGGAGGCAGCCAGTGCAGGGAGAGCTTTGACCGGACCCCTGCAGGGGTAAACGTGTCCCTGCCCAGGGGACCATTCTCCCTCCCTGCCAGAGCCTGTGGGGATGCCCGCCCTCCCCGGGGGAGGCCGAGGAGTGGCATGGGAGAAGGTTCTGGACCCAGCCTTGGGCCTGGGGGACTCACTGAAGCTTTCCAGCTAGAGCTGCCCCGAGAGGCAGTGTTTAACCGGCTGTTTAACTGTATGTGCTCACTCTGTCCTCCCAGGAAGGAGACAAAACAGGGGCACATAAGCCATGCTTAAAATTCTTGGCAAGTAAAAAATAATCTCGTAACCTTCCCCTGAATTGCACAGGCTATGTAGGAGACGAAAACAGCCTCATTATTTTTCTGGTATTGAAGACTGCCTCTTATGCTTCCATCAAATCATGCCAGCTTGGTGGTATTACTGAGAAATTTTGAAAACCTCCTGTGAGCATTGATAATGTGATTACCCTACGCCTACTGTAAAATCCTAACTCTAAGCACAGGTAATACCTGAGCCGTGGTACAGAAAAGGGCTTCTTGGATGTTATTACCAATGTTGATTTAGGGCAGAGACCCTAGATTTTCCTCCAGAAAATTTTCTGCTGTTCTTGCTTCCCAGAATATCCAGGATATTCTTTTCCAGAGCACCTCGCCAGGAGTTTAGCTGCTTATAACATTTTAAACTCTTACTTGTTTATCTTGGTGAACTTTCCTGGCTAGCAAGGAAATCCATCATTATGCTTGGGTCCAAGTGAAGGAAAAAGAACCTTTTGTATTTTTTTTTTTTTTAAGGTCTGTGTATGTTGTTAATTTTTGTAAATGGGAGCTGGCCATGAACACAGTTTCTGGGTTAATGATAGAATAGGTACGTGTGTGTGTGTGTGTGTGTGTGTGTGTGTAATAGATGTAAACTTTTAATGATGGAAAATGTCAAACATACACAAAAGTAGAAAGAACGGTAGCACGGAGCCCTGCTGTACCCTTCACCCCACTTCACCAACCAGCCACACGGGGGCCAGTCGTGTTTTGTCTGTCAGCCCGTCGCCTCCCCCAAACCCTTACTGCTTTATTGAGGCAAATCCCAGAATCATTTTGAATCCATAGATAGCTCTTCTTAAAGTTAGGGATCCCTTTTGAAAACATAGCTATAACGCCTGTGCCCCACTTAATAGTCATCTCTTAACATCATCCCTTCTCCAGCAAGTTTTCCCATTTCTCCGGCACGTTTGGGTCCAGCTTCGGATGAGGCCCGCACAGTATGTTTGGTTGGTGTGTCTCTGAATTTCCACTCCCCTGTCCTTTTTTTTTTTTACCCCCTTTCTGACAACTTACTTGTTGAAGAAACCAATTTGCTCGTTCTATAGAATTTCCCTGATACTGGGTTTTGCCGCTTCGCTGCACATTTCACATGTTCCTCCGTCCCCCGCTCCTCATGCAGACTAGTGCGGTTAGTTCGAGAGGCTTGATCTGATTTGAGCTCAAGTTCTTTTTCTGTTCTTTTTTGGGGGCAAAGTCTCTTTCGTAGCTGGTGGTGGTGGTCCTTCCATCGGGAGCTGCAGACTCTCCGGTTGTCTCTTGCTGTGACGTGGAGAGTTTCAGTGGGTCCTGGCGTGGTCAGCCTCATCCATCCATTCATAACGATGCCCATCAGCTTTACACCCGATGCTGTGCACGTGCACGTGCACAAGTGAAAGAGCTCAGGATGAGTTCCCAAAAGTGGGTTTGCTGGGTCAAAGGGTAAATGCACCGGTTGTATTTAGGAGATGTTGCCAAACCCCCCTCTCTAGGGGTTGTGCCCTGTTGCCTTCCTACCACTAACAGAGGAGTTTCTTCTCTTCCCACGGCCGTGC